AGCACTACAGGTATTGTCCGCATTGCGGGTACACGAGAGCCACCTCGTTGTGCACTCAAACGAGTGCGATGAGCTTTCAGCGGAGATTCTTACCAAGAAATGAGCTCGAAGAGCTTTCCGTTTGGCAAGCTCAACTTCCGTAATGGCCGGGGGCCGATGATGTGGACGCGTAATGATTAAGTTACCGTGCTCTTCGCTTCCACAGCGTGATTCGCTGAGCAGAAGTCAATTCACACGAGAATCAATGACCGACCGTGGTTGGGCGCTCAACAGTGCCGCCTTACGGGCAGCTTCCAGCTGCCGCCTCTGTTCCCCGTCGAGGTCATAGGTAATCACTCCACGTCCCTCAGTTGACGGGAAATCCGGGAACGGACATAAGGTCCGCAAGGCGCGAGCAGGGCTCGTATCTCGCCGCTGGCGCAGCTCACCTTTCTCGTTATCCCATGCGGAAAAAGGAGTGTCAGACTCATAGTCGACTACCTCCACAACCTCAACGAGGCCACTCGGCACTGAAAGCGTGCGCTGGGCGCGACGCTTGTGCTCATCGAGCCTAGTATTTACATTCCTCGGTGCTGCGAACGCACTGTCCGACGTTGCACCGAGTGCGGGAGAAGAAGTTGGGCTCTGCTCGTGCTCGCCGTCAGAACCAGCGAGACTTGGAGAATTCGGTGTCATTGACACAGGGCTCATTGAGCACAGAAGTCGTTTTGATTTGATGCAGTGTCCAACGGACACGCAAGCCTCGTTGAGACAATAATAGATTGGAACTGTGAGTGTTCTCATTCTTTATGGGGGAGAGTATAACGGGGTTACACATACCCTTGTCACAGGGGTGTGTGTCACACCAGATGGGCATGGTGTGACCACACCTAAACACGAATACAGTACGGGGCTAGATAGCCAGTCGTTATTCATGTATTTAGATTTTACTATTCATATTTAAGAAAATCTATGCATTTAAAATTAGGCGCAGATAAAAATAAACAAAGTCAGTTTTGGATTTAAACGGATGAACTTATTAGCCTTGGGTTATGGCAACAATTACTCTTGAAGTTAGCGGATTGCGATCCGCTAAACTCGTACTTGTTTTAAGTATAGAACGAAAAGTCGGTGACCTAAAGTACGCTTAATCAAACGCTAAGCTACGGCAGCCCCGCTGCATCGAGCAACAAACCAGTTCACGGGAGTTGTCTGCAAAAGCCGCACCAATGACGTAATCAATGAGAACGTCTCAGTCGGTCTGTGCCGACGTCTTGTCGACACACGAACACACCGACTTCACTGGCTGCGGCCATAAATATCGCCTCATTTGGTGCATACCCTCTGATAATTCTGTTTCAACGCACTGATTTTAGCATACAAGATGTCATTGAAGCATTGATGAATGTCGATATCACCAGCCTGAAGATCACCAGGGATTACACAAATATTGATGTCGCACGTCCAGCACTTTACCTTGAGCTCCATCGAGGTATGAGCTTTCTTCGAGTCTCACATAAAAATTTCAATTGTTATCATTTATCACAGGTACCTAATATTTGATCCAGCTTAAAGCAGCAAGCCGTCAATGAAGTGGGGCTGCCGAAACTCTTCACTTAGTGGAAGCTAAGCCAAGGTCACCGACCTTACGTTCTTTACAATAACCAGTACGAGTGTAGCGGATCGCAATCCGCTACCTCCAGGTACTAAAGACCTTGAGCAAGGTAAACAAACTCTTCTGCTCGAACTGAAACGGTATTTTATTGTTTTAGTTGCGACAGAGCCGCCAATATCAAAACCCCTAGGTTTTCCTAATCAATATAGTAAAACCTAATTTATATAGTATTATGCATTACTACTGGCAGTCCTGTCATGTGGTGATTTCTTGTTACGGTGTAGCCACACCATTGTGTGATTTCACAAACTTGTGTAATTCACACCTAAGTACGGTCGCAAAGATGGTGCGACCCGCCCTTTCATACAAGGGTACATGTAAATTCGTTTCGGTTAGTCCATTCCTTTTTCTAGAACGCAGCGTAACATCTATCATTTTTTCAATGCTGGCTAGCAAGCTCCTCGTAGATCAATATTTCTTGCCGGCTGCATTCGTCGCAAAAATGAGAGTGATGGGCATGTTTGCTAATCCTGCTCAGCGAAAATATCGTGACGAGCACCAATAACGTCCAATGTCTGTTTGCGTACTTCTTTAAAGTACACGGCATCATATTTATTAAACCTGGTCAAGATCCATACGTGGTCGCCGATCTTGCAGCTATCGCATGCAGTTGACCGTACGCTCAACGACAACAGCGTCTGCTAGGATAGTAAAGTGCTCTGGCTCGCCTCATCCCGGACGCACTCCGTGACCTCCAAAGAGAACCACTGTACTGTCACATCCGTGGGACTCTCGCGCACTGTTCATAGTGCAGGGAGCGATCCAAATATACATAGACCGTAAGGTGGGCAAGTGAGTGTTACCAATACCTGATGAAGTGGAGAATGTTTCATGAGCCTAAAGATTCGTGGAAGTTAGACAATCTACACTTGCAGAATACCGTAGTGCCGTGGCCACTTACGACCAAGCGCGATCTTGGCCTTAATTTACTCCAGAGAATAAGCAGGGTCTCTTGTCTCTGTCGGTAGGTGGCAACTTTGCAGCAAATTAGACCCTTAGTGTGGCTCCTAATGGAGTGTAACAGGCTTGTAAGCAGCAGTAATTTAAGGTGATGGGATGATACCTTGACATCCGCTTAGCTGATGCCGGATTGCTAACTAAAGTAACGATTATGACCTGTAAGGCGACGTGTCTTTCTCGCCCAGTGCGTGAACTGAATCTGGTATCTATCGACACTTTTGCCAGCTTCTAGCGCTCAGGGACATCCGTCATGGGAGCTACAGGTTTTCCCGACCACAGCTGCCCCAATTGCAGGCGGCACTCTTGAATGCGATCATCTATGGGCTGAGAATGCGCTCGCGGAGCAATTTTCTCGCACTTGCTTTATTCTTGGTATGATCGGAAGGCCCACGCCACTGTAAACGAAGCTCGCAAAGCGCAACAATTGAATTTAGTCGATTTGCAACCTCAAAAACGACATGGTGATTCGAGCAAGAGTCGGCGTGAGTCTAGCGTTTGCATTAGAGCAAGCTGAATTTTTTTAAGTCAGCTCCAGCTCATTGTGTACAATGAGCTGGACATCTTCATGGATTTCGCAGCGTTTATTCTAACGTATTCAGTCGAGAGAAAGGAAATCTCGTGTTGCGGGGATGCTGAGCGCAAAGAGCGCCTTCTGCTCGGAGATCTGCTAGACCATCCGTTGCTCGGGATTAAGGTGGGAGCCGTTAAGTATCTGGGACCGCTCGCATCGACAAAACTTTCGGCATCCTCACCGAGAATTTTTATGGCATGTCGGTCGCAACGACTGCGCCATTTCCGGGGCCCATCGAGCATTTGTTTGAGTGCACGAAAGGGGGGTCTTGGTCCATGTATGGCACCGTAAATGCAAAGTGTGGAGATTAACTGCAGGCACAGTAAATCGTACGCTTTTGTGCTGTGTCTGAATACGACAGCAGAGGTGTGAGCCCCAATGTGATTCACATCCTAGTGGGAGGGGGACAGTGTTCATAACTCCCTTTAACTACGGTGTACAATTAACCATATTTCATATTGCACTTCTGTATATTTTGTTAACTTCATAAGTACTGAAGTCATCTGTATTTATGAAGATGATGAGATTTCGTAAAGGAGAAGTTCATGTTACACGTAGGCTGCTAGCCGCACGTTATAAAAAGAGAAAGTTGTGGAAGATATATATATATTTTGAGTAACTGTCTCTTAAATAGATATTATTTTGAAAAATCAATGCGAACTAACTTGTATTCGTTTTTTTAGGAAGATCTTATAGGTGTTGCATGTTCTGCTTAGATTGTATCATACTATTTTTTCCTACTTGGTGTAGGTCATCGCGATAATACAGCAACCTATCAACTGTCGTACATCTTGCTTGCGGGACAAATCTTCAATCCACTAAACAATCGAATGCTAATCTTACTGCTGTGATTACTTTGATTACTGCACTGCCTAGCTAGACTTTCTGCTGCATGTTTTTTATAAACATCAAGGTTTGAATCGGTTACTGAGTGAATCTCATTTTGGATAACCTAAGAAATACAAAACTGGGTTCAAATATGTCAGGACATAATTATTAAAGCCACACAGAAATATAAATTCCACAATAAAATGTTGTATACAAAAGAGCTTGTGGTTTTTCAAACAGTCAGCTATAAAGTAAGTCAGTCAGCACAGAAGTATCGCTGTGGAAACGAAAGAAGGGTCTTGCTATGGACGAGACAAACTTGTATTGCGTCAGTTGAACAACTTTGTCTTCGGGGAGTATGGAAAGGGGCTTGGAGTATGGATGCCCAAAACAAGCTAAACAGATGAACGTTACCATACGAATTTTGATATAGACGTTACTTATTCTTACGCATCAACATTTTCCCCCTTGCATACACCCGAATCCCTTTTTCTGCAACTGTGGGTTCTTCTTCTGAATCTATGAATCAGGCTTTCGAATGAAGACGAGCCAACATTTCGGATTCACGTCTTTTTATTGCTTGGTATCAGATGAAAGATGATCGTGGCGTCATCAATGTAATCTAGGCTATTATTGACAAGGCTGCGTGTCTGATTATCCAGCAGCTTGCTTCACTTTCAATTTTTTGTGAAGGAATCGACATCCAAACATCATGAAGCCGCTTGCCTTAGAACCCACTGTGATCGTATGCCTTGTATGCTTGTTAGTGCAATACATACTATGTGCTTGTTTCGCGTACGACTTGAGTGCAAGTCAAAACGAAGTGCCGGATACACGTAGTCAATCCAATATGACCGCGACCATCACGCATAACAGTACTACTGTATCGAAGAAAAACTATTCTCACATTGACAACAACACCGAAGCGAGAACAGGGCCAGATGTTTCTTTAATTCGCCCAATGAATGAACATCTTTTTGATACGGGACATTTTGTTGGATTGGAGATTCCGGTTGGAGGTAAACTCTCAGAGTCGCCACTGCGTGATGTTTTAAAGTCGGAAACACATGATGCTGAACTTATGTTATCTAAAGTGGAAACCTTGCTTGGTAAAGAAGATTGGAGAATTTCGCTTCGTGATTTGGATATATCGTGGGACGACCCCGTCATACGACGAGAAATAATTGCACACTGTCTAAAACTTGGTCTATCGCCTCAGGAATTCTTTTATTTGATTGATGTTCCTCTCCCGAAGTTCTTGTTTGGCCTTAAAAGCATTAATCCGAAGATGATCGTGTGGTTCGAGTATATTATTCAGTACAGGTCCTTGCATGCGGTATACAGTTTTTTCGCAAAAGAGGCAAACACGGCTTCCCCTGCCACTTTATTCCATGACCCGACCACAAGTCATGATAAGTTCGACGACGAAGACTTATTTAAATTTTTGTTGGGAATTTATCAGCCGCAGCCGGTTTCAAAATCGGCCCTGACACTTGCGAAACGCAAGTCACGACAAGTGGATGAAGTGGTGAAATTGTTCGAGTTTCTTCGCAAAGACAAAGACTCACATTTGAAAGAATTAGCCGAAGAGATGCTGGAATTTTTGCTTTTTGGGTCAGAAACATTTACGTCGGTGTTTCGTGTGTGGCTGTCTAAATATGTATCACCGATGGTTCTATTGAGGATTGTATCTCCCAATGGGGAGCATAATAAACGTATCGAATTTCTGTGGAATCGATATGTCCAATTGTACGTTAATCATAAGGGTTCGACCCGGAGATTTTATCCTCTTAAATATCAGGACATGCTTGCTTTCTTGAAACAAAAGAAGACAGAAAGCAAGTGACGACTGTGCTGCTGCAATTGGTTACCGACTGAAATGTTTGCTGATTAGCTTTTTCAGAAGTAATCATCTGAAGTCGCTATTTGATCACCTCTGAGTTGAATGATCTAGCAGGTGCCACGCTGAAAAACATTTCTTCTTCGAGATTAGATGGCATACGTTCGAAAAGTAGTGGCAGGTGAAGTCGATAACGTTGAATTAATATGAAATAGATTATGGTTTTCCAATTGGTTTTTCACCAGAAAAACAGTGTAACAGGGTTACACGTACCCTTGTATGAAAGGGCGGTCTCACAAGATTGTGTATCCGTCCATAGTTGTGGATAACACAAGTTGGTGTAATCACACAATGGTGTGGCCAAACCGAAATAAGAATAATGAGGTATTGCAATACAAATTAGGTATTACTTCATTTATTACGAAAAGTCTAAGGTTTTAGATATTCTGCCGCAACTAAAACAGTTAAATACAGCTTCAGTTTTAACACAGAAGAGTTTATTTGCCTTGGTTAAGTTTTTGGGGTACTCCTGGGGGTAGCGAATTGCATCCGCTACACTCGTACTGGTTCTTGTAAGGAGCGTAAGGTTGGGGATCTGAGCTTAGCTTCCTCTATGCAAAGAGCTACGGCAGCCCGGTTGCAAATCAGAGGCCAGCATACTCAGTAACTGTACCATGACTGCTCCTATCTCAATCAAATGACATATCGCAGTGCTGCACCCGACAAAAGATATTCACAAAGCTGATAAAAAGACCGGAGCAAAAAGTGGTCAGAGGTTCGATTTATGGCATATAAAAGAAATGAATTATCGAAACCCGCACGTCATAGAAACACAACAATTAAATCCGAAAAGGAGTTTTATGAAATGGATATCCTGCTTAGATACACGGATTAAAGACTTCCTTGAGACGACGGATATCGCGCGCAACAACTTTGCAATCGAAGATGAGGGTGTCAAGTAACTGCCTGAGCTTTTGAGAAATCCCTATTCGCACGGTTCGATGTATGAAGATCACGATCACATTTTCTTCTTACGACACGCGCATTATTGATTAAAAGCAAGTGATTCAAATTCAATAAGAGTGAGCGCCATGCACCAGGTGCATGACACTATGGCTGAGAGCAGAATCAACATGCGGATGCAAGAGACAGGCAAAACACACATGAAGTAGTGATGGGACCACTGGGTTCACTTACAGACTTACACATTGAGCGTTTGCGAGCCGTGAAAATAAGTATTGACTACGCTATATCAAACTGTTCACGGTCGTAGCAAAACGAAAATGAGTTAACATATCAATTAATATAGGATCAATCAAGCAATACCATGATCTTGCTCTTGCGATACAGGCAAATTTGAAACATTCTGTTTCCGACGGCGCAGATTCTCTACCATCCCCTTATGCTAAGCTATCCTCTAAATTTGGAGCAGCGATACGTTCTCGGACCACTGAAGCCACGCTGTGCGTGGAGAAACTAAGATTCGGATAATCTCATTTTGGACGTATGCAGTAGCTCTCGGAGGGTCAATGTACCACCACCGAGATAGCACACGATATCCAGCCGGAGGGTCGTCGCTGATACAACTCATTGAGTCTAGTGTGGTCCAGTCATACGTAGAACGTCTGGTATTCTGGCCGGTACACCAGGGCTGCGGTCAGAATCTGGTATAGTGAAACAAATACCTCAATACGAAAAGTTTTGTCGTGGCGTCGTTGCCACTTTCGATCTGGCGCACCCTTGGCTTTTAGCAACCTTTATGGGATACAGGTTCACACGTCAAAGCGAGCCTTCTACTAGTAACATCGGACTGAGAGTTTGACTATTGTTCGATAGCTGTAACAGCTGTTTCATGGCGACGAGCGGTACTGTGATTTTCATCTCGATGACCGCGTCGTGCATTGTATATTGCAGAAAAATAATCGACGCTCTAGTCGGACGTCAGCTTCACTGTAGTTGGCTTGCAAAGCTTAAAGCCGCATCTTCTTACCCGGTGCACAAATTGAGACATTCCATTATGGATGGCACGGGCATCAAAACTGAAGCACAACGAGTTAATGATTCCAAAGTACCTCAAAGGCAACTAGAAATCTACTAATAAAACGTTGGAATTCCTGATTTATATAATAAAAGGGTGTACTGACATTAAACCTCAGCTTGGACTAATACACGATGTTTGGTGTACGGAGCCTGAACTTCAAAGCTTGAACATTAACTTTCGTGAAAATTATCCTGTAGAAGTGACTGGCTAATGTCACTCACTTCGAAAGACAAAGACACGTCGGTCTCGTCATCAGTTAGGATCTTCAAGTAAAAATCGGTATCACATATATTGTTTGTGACTTCATATAAGATTTCACGTATGCACTTAGAAAAACCATATTGTAACCGTCTTTTAGATTTTTTACACTAAATACAGCAGATCCATAGATCTACATTCATGTAATGACCATGTGTAGCCCATGACATCATCTCTACCTTAAAAGTCAAAATTTCTTTGCTACTTTTACGAACATTATGGAGCAGTTCACTTTCCGATCAACAGTGCAACGATCAAGTGAACGAGCCAACTTTAAACGCGTTTTTTGCATAAGCGAAAACGAACAGCTACAGAGCTCTTTGACGAGATAGAGAAGAAGCTCATCATGGAATGTTTCTTTTTTTAGCCTGATCAAGAGTCGGGATGATCCGACCCAACCCGTAGCCGCTAAGCTGGACTCTTGGCGGAAGTTTGTTCACCTAAAGCATCAAAACGAGATGAAGCGTCTGCTTCATCGTATCGGTAGTGGCAAGACTACCCATGACATCCCAGCAAAACCCAGCTTTTGTCGCGGTAGTGTTGCCTCCAGAAACACTACAAGGAATTCTCGTAGCTGTGGTCTACGACGCGGACAACGGACGGAAGGGCCTGACGAGGTTTCTACGTGTCCGGGTCCGACGGATTGCCAAGCGACCAAACACTGTCGAAGCGTTGATGATTCAAGTGCTACTTTCACGATGATGAGTCGATCGATCGTCATTATCCACTATTGTCTCAGCCACCAAACGACACTCTCCACACGATCCTGATAGCGGTGAAGGGGCTGATCGTGAAAAGATTTGAGCGACTCTGGAAGTGGGAGCGCTCATTGCGGGTAGAGTGAGACATTACAACAGCGTTGATCGAATTTAAAAGATTGCTGCGATCACTCTTCCAATCCTAAAGCAGAGCAGAACTCGAAATTCGACGTTCTGAACAATGATTCCGTCTGATGCTCGGCTTTGGAGTCCTGTCTTATACTAAGGTTTCATAATGCTCATGGTGGATTTGTTTGCCTCCGGAGAAACGAGAAGGCTTGTGATCTAGATCACGAACATCTGCTGCGCTCTGTTGAAGGATCTATTCTCGAGGTACTCTGTGCTGAGTATGATTCTTGCCTTCAGGCGTTGAAATTAGTAAAGGATCAGTAATTTGATGTCCTTCAACGCTTGTATGCCGAAAAGAATCTTCAGAGTGAAGACTTGGTTGTCATTTGTGTACAAATGGAAAAATGTCATGAACAGATCGATCATCCGCCAGAGGTATGGTAGGATTGGCACATCCATTAAAAGATACGAACTAAGCCTACTCACATAAAATGTAGAATGTAGGCGCATGTGTGTTGGGAAGGCTTTTGTATATGCATCATCATTGCATTTTAACATTGTCCATTGAATCTCGGCAAACGCTTTCTGCTTTCCAAGTTCGACACTGCATATTCAGGCAGATTCGTCGCGCTTAGTAATGCGAAAGTATTTATCTTATTCAACTTCGTGTTTTTCTTAAACAATTTTCTTTGCATTTCTTACAGATCCTGAGCTTTCGCAATGATGTCTCGATCAAATTGCATAATGGATTGTCTATTCGCATTTAAGCTATCGACGTGCTGTTCCTCACGGCTTGTCATGTCTTGTCATTCACACGCTCCAATTGACCGTCCTTTCAGGATATACCGCTCTTAAATTGGATAGATTGGTGCCCAAACGTCTAAACAGTGCACGCCGAAACTTCGACTCGAAACGGGTGTTAAGGTCAGACATGATATCGACAGGAAGAATATGCGGACGAAATAAAAGGTTTACAAAGACCTTAGCTATTTTCTCAGCAGAGATCATATCCGAATCAGGCGCATCATGAACTATCCTACTGAATTGACCCACCAACGCAATGATGTTGTTGTGTCCATATGTGTCACACAGAGGTCCGAAAATGAGACTTATACTCACAGACTTTTAGCTTCAAGCTAGCACTGCCAATGATTGATGTGGGGCCGTGTGGAACCCGATGGTTTCGCTCACAGATGAATTTTGCAAGTTCTCACATACCTGTGCACCCACTTATTCATATGTGGACGATAGTAATCCCGGGAACGATTGTGAAACGTTTTCTACGTCTTAGATGACCGACCAAAGAGCTGTCATGGTCTCATGGTGACGCAAGCCTTAATAATTGGGAGCCTCAACCATTGCTGTATCCTCTTATCCAAGCACATAGTACAACAATCAATTGCGTTCTCCAAAACGATGGAACACGTGATCTTGTGCGAGACAGAAGACCTTGCTTTACTTTGGCGGGAGAATCGTTGAATAACCCCAACTAGTCCTGTGATATCTCATCAGACTTGTACCCTTCGACATTTTTTTCGTGCACTGTGGTTGTTGCTTGCGCTTTGATCGTTGAACATTTTCGCATTGTTGGCATGTCTTGTGCATGATTTTGCTTCTGGGGTTTGGATCATATCCGGGCGTCTTGACAATGCATTAGCTACAATGATCGTATTGCCTGGTTTGCATTGTACAACAAAGTTACATTACGCAAAAAATATATAATATCGAGTTATTCTCTGGATGAATGAGAAGTGTAACTGCCGTACGCAGCGAGGTAGATCGCAAAGCGCTCTTCTTCAAGCAGGTACATGCGGAACTTAATCAAAACATACCTCATTGCTAGAAGCTCTTTGTCATGAACCGGATAAGAAACAACTCGC